TTTTAATATTTTATTATCACGCGTGCGCCAGCTGACTGTGACTAGGGAGTATAAATTGCTGCGATAAAAGTATAACAATCACCTTTCCTATATATCGCTGTCAAGCGACAAAATGACATTGACGGGTGAAAGTACTGGACAGGTAATAACCTTCAAATAGAACAAAACATTACTCAATTTATTTTCTTGAGGGACTACAGATCAAAACAATCCAGCGTTGCGAATGGCTTATTTCAACAGTCCCTCTATCCATTATACCTCCATGCTCTATCCGGGCTCTAGTGATTCCTGTGTTTCAACCTTTTAATACTAGTACATCACAGAAGCGCTTCGCCATTAGAGGGCGCTATTCATTGGACATGTGCATTTTGTCGGAACAACGTACCGTAAATCGCGATAAGGTAAACACGTTTGTATTCACAGATTTTCACCTTAAATAGAAATTAATGATTGTATTCCGCGATCACTCCAAATTTTGAGATAAGACCTTTTTACCATAGAAACCGATGGTAAATAGTTTTGGATGTTTGACCAGTGTTCTATTTGAAAGGTCGATCGGTGACCATACATTTTTACCGTGTTTTGTGATCAACAGGAGCATAGAATTAAACCACTCATAAAATTCTGATTGTTTTTGGAGAAAACTACATGTACCTAAGAAGCTACCAATTATAGATAACGTACAATTACTATTATATAACAGCTGAATTATGTGTGTTTATGTATAGTGCACTTTTATAGATTTCATATATAATAATGAATTTATTGCATCCTTAGAAATAATTTCCATTGGTTGACAGCAATAAAATGTTAGTAATAAAGTACAATACATATAAAACTATAGTAAAAGTAAAATGTCAGTTATTGTTACATGTATTTCTGAATTTCTAATATTTTGTATAAGTATTCACCAACTTGTCTTATTAGTAGTCTTCTCTTGAACTCATAATATATTTAAATATCTAGTCATCACTTTTCAATTCTTCTGGAATATTGATATTATTAAATAACTTTTGTCTTCCTGTTTGGCACCTAAGACATTCCATGAAGAAATGTTCTTCATTTTCAATTTTGATCTGGGAACATTGCTTACAGATTCTGTCTTCTAAAGGTATTTTGGGTTGGGTTATGTCTACCCTTCTCAATTTCTAATACATGACTGCTGAATACATATGAATCATGTGACAGTTTTGACTTTGAGTAAATAATCCAACTCAGATTAGGATTTCTAAGATGCAATGACCATTGCAGAGTTCCACCTCGAACCATTAGTTTTTAGAACCTATTTCCTGTCAAAAAATGTTTCTATAGTTTATATATATGTTTACAACTGTTTGTTAATCATTTGGCACTATGTATTGAAACTTATTTGTCAGTTACCAGTACCCCACCCCTTAGTCTAACAAGCACCCTAACCCTCCAGCCCCCTAACTCTGTTTTTCATGTCCCTCTAGATAACAATGTCCTCAAGAGGGACATATACAATTAATTTGAGGGAGCAATAGAGGGTAGAGGGTCATGTTAAAGTTAGAATTAGAGGTGGGGGTACATTAGAAATTTATTCCTTTCCTGTATGTGAGATGAGTCATTGGCTATGTTCACCCATCCGTATTTGTGTCAGTAATCACCGTTTAAAGTTGTATTGTTTGAGCCAATCAATGTTGCATTATATACCCATCTTTTAAAGCTATTGTCACATTAACTCTAATTTCTTGTAAATTATTTTCCTGTCAAAACCCAATGTTGATATTTACTTAATAATACCGTAATCGATTATTTAAAATGGTTTATCTTAAAAGAAAGTGGTTGTCGCGAATTTTCATGTACACAAACATTTTTACACACGTTGTATACATTGCTACGATCCCCATATTTAACAGAAGGGATTATTCAGTGAAAATAAAATCCAGCAAATATACATTCTGTCCCAGATTTTACATTCTACTCGTCAGAAATCAGTGAAAATAAATTCTATACAAAACACCCAAAAAGTCTTTTCAGCGAAAATTAATTTCAACTGAAATACAATAATTTACAGTAGTTTATGACAAAGCCCACAGTAAATCATATAACAGAGAATATATTTGTACAAATCAGCATTAGATACTATTTTAATATTTGCAGCAGCTCAGCATGAGTAATAATATTTTGTTGTTCAATATGCAATGGACTCACTTTAAAACAGACCTACAAAATATTTGTAAAATATTTTTGTTTATTATGAATGAATATATACATTTCAGATAAACAATTTTCTAGCTTTATGTAGTATAGCATGAACATTTTTTGTTGGCTAAACAGTGAAATCATATCCTAGATGTTGTACATGTGATCATAGCATGCTAGACCAATGTCTGTAGAGTGAATCCCAGAGATGGATAGATTGAAGCCCTGTGACGGGTCAGAAGATTATGATGTGGCAATTAGAAAGTAAAACCACAAGGTGTACAATGTATCACCAGTCGATGCAGCATACAACAGCATTGATTATATCCAGGAAAGAAAAATTGCTGGACAATAAAGGTAAACTGATGAACACTGGATTTCCAAGACGATGTGAAATGAATATAGATGACAGTATTGAAAAAATATGTTGTCAAAGAAACTAGTGTGTTGAAAAAAAAGATGACAAGCAATATAGTAACAGACGGGTCTTAGAATGCTTGGAGACAGGAAACACAGAGAAGTTGGCGAGAACCAAAGAGTTTATAGCATCCACAATAAGGCAAATGAGCTTTTTTTAACTTGAAGTTTATAGCTTTGGCTCTCAATATTGAATATTTTTAAAACAGATGAAAAATAACATAAAATACTGTCCTGTGTTAGAGAGTTTAAATAAAGAACATCTGCTCATAGTGACCACCCTTTGGGCAATTTACATGTACAGTAAGTGACCTGTGACCTGACAATGGTTTGGTCAAATCAAACTGTGTAGAAATGCCAAAATGACAGAAGATGATTGCATCTTTAGTGTTTTACACTAAAATATAACAACTATTATTATAACAAGAAAGCCATCAGAGATGGAAGATCCACTGGCATCTATTTTAACAATCATTGGTTGAACATCTAAATATGCAATAGTGTTCCAGATATGATAAGGCTACATTTTCAATATATGGTCACTAAA